AGCTGGGGGACTCTGATTTCACTTAAAATAGGAAGGTCTGGGACAGAAGTTGCATAAACTGTTTCTTCCCAAATCAGTTAATTCTGATTCAACCAGATTTATCTTAAAACAGTTTTGGCCATTTTGAAACTGGTTTATGTGCACCGAACTTATGTTCTGCTACAGGTTTAAACCAGTTTCTGATCACTTAAACCCGTCTATGCGTAACTTCTGTCCCTAGCCCAGCTTGAGAGCTGTTACCTCACAGCTCAATCCAGAACATCTGTGGTCTTGACATTAGCAGGACCCTGCCAAGCTGAGCTTGCCTGGACCCTGAATTGGTGAGCCAGGAGGGTACTTAGGCATGCTGTTCTGGGAATAAACAGCATTTCCCCATGCAGACCAGGCGGAAGGTTTTTGTGTGGCAATACTTTCCCCTCCGGAGACACCCATTGCAGAAATCGAATGTCGAAACATTCATGTGCAATATTTTCCAGTGCATTTTACTTTTGATTTCTCTCTCAAATAAAAATGAATTATTTGGCCAAAACCATTAAAAAAAACCCCCAACAATTAAAATGTTTGGCTTAATTCTGTGGGAAACCCACATTATTGTCCTCATTCTGCTTTGGGACAAAAGGAAGGTCAAAGCTGGACTTTTCCATGGAACGGACCATGCTGTGTTTTGGTCCCTACGGATGGGTCTGCAGTCGCCCAGCAGAAGTTGCCAGGATTTATTCTGTTCATTCACCCATTCTAAAACTGACACATCTGGGTTGGTTTTTGGTAGTCTCACTCCTGATTTGGATCCATGGAAATTGTACCTGCTAATTAGGTAGGAACACATCCTCTCTTAGGTCTGCTAAACAGCTCACTCTGTTACAAATGTGCTGTCAATGCTCCAGCACAGTGCAGGGCCTCAGGGCAGGAGGATTTCCATACCTTGACAGATGTTAACTTGTCTGCTCCCAGGGAGGAAGGTTGAGATTATCTTTGCCTTACAAACTGGGGAGCAGAGGGCCTTGTCTGAGCAGACCCTGCCCTGTCTGGGTTTCACAGAGCTGTGCCCTGTGCAGGGCTTTTATTGGGGAGAAAGACCAGTGCCTGTATATGCCAGCTTTCCATTCTTCACTCCCCAGCTACTGGGTACTGGTGTGGATTAAAACAGCCTCTGGGTTGCTCTAACTTGTGCTGCTGATGCCTAAGCAGTGTTTTTCAACCTGTGGGGCACAACCCAAAAGTGAATCGCAAGCATATAGGAAGCTGGGGAGCTGGGGCCTGGGGGCAAGGAGCAATGGGTCAGGAGTGAGGGGCACCGGCAGGCCCAAGGGGCTGTTTTCTACTTAAACTATTTACTGGGGTTGGGACTGGCCATTGATGTTTACAAATGGGTCCTGGTACAAAAAAGGTTGAGAACCCCCTGGGTTAGACCAGAGCACAGAAGGACTCTGGCAGGCGCTGAATATACCTGCAAGCTATGGCTGTCTCAGCTCAGCACCTTCCCCCCAGAGCTGGGGAGGGCAGATTAGCAGCAGTGTACTGCCCGAACAGCATCACATTAGAAGCCCAAATCTGGCCCAGGGCATTGAGTTCAAAAAAGTCACTCACAAGCATAAGAACGTAGAACATAAATGCCATTTACTGGGTCCATCCAGCCCAGTCTCCAGTGTCACACAGGGGCAGAGAGGGGATGCTGAAAGGGAGAGCAACCTGGGTCTGACCGAGGTTTCTTCCCCTGTTCCTCTTTCACTTGCATCCTCTGGCATTTAAGGTCTGGGAAGCTGTGTTTTCAAACAAAGCTCAGCCTACACTTTGTCTGCAGGCCTGGATTTCCCATGGAAATCGCTGCCTCCTGCCTCCTGGTGTCCCCTGCCCAAACAGCAGTGTCCAATCCAAGGTAACACATTGTGTTGACCAGATTAAGATCCCAGGTGAAGTGGCTTGGCTTGAAGGACAAGGGCAAAATCAGGAGCTCTTGGGCACTAGTGTAAATCAGCACAGTCAAGCTCTTTTGTATCCACTGTTGACTTGGCCCCCAGGTCTCCAGTCTCCCAGGGCCATGTTCACGCCATCGGCAAACACGGTCTCAATTAAACAGTACGCCTGTCTCATTTTCATTGCACCCTCATCTAACCTGCTAGGAGCGTTGCAGTAGTAAGTTTGCCAGGCTCCTGAGCTCTCCACTGCTTCCTTTCCAGAGCTGTACTGTTTCCCTGGAAACTGCCTTTTTTTGTGTGTCTAACAAAACAGCACCGCTGCTGATGGCACACGCTGGGATCTTCTACAATGGTTGGCTGTGCTGCAGTTTTGTAGATGCTTGCAACATGAACATCATGCACTGTGGTCCCATTTTTACAGCTAACCCTGAGGCTGGGTCTATTTTTGACCAGCAACAGGGAAAGTCTTAGGGTGCGTGCAGATAAGTGTGATCGTGCAGCACGTAGCGCTGCAAATGCATTTGTGGTGCCACATATTAGGCAGTCTGGGGTTCTCCACGCTGCAAGGGCATGCTGCCTGAGCGTGTGCTGTGCCAGGTTTTTCTTCCACAGGTTTTTTTGACCCATGGATATCCAGGGGTCAAAAAAACCCCCCAAAATGGAGCAATGCACACTCAGCCAGTGCACGCTGCTGAAAAGTGGAGCTGGTCCGTCCAGGCTCCATGCAGCAGAATGGCTGTGGCTGCAGCCCTGGGAGGCTCCCAGGTAAGGCTGCCCCGGGAGGCTCCCAGCACAGTGCCTGCCCCAGCCTCCCCTATCTGACCCGGGGTAACCTGCCATGCACCAAAGTGCATGTGGCATGGACACTTCCCGGTGACAAGAAGTGGCAGCGCAAGATGTGCCGCCGCTTCTTGTCCCTGGGGAAACAAATGTCCACGCATGTCTAGACACACCCTTAATGATGCAAAGTTTAAGTTGCACTGGGCATGTCTACACGAGACTGAGCTACTGTTCAGTAATGTGTCACTGTCTATGCATGCACAACATTTACTGTGCAGTAAATCAGTCTAGTGCAGTTAGTACCTTTAAACACAGGTACTAGATTAACTGTGCAGTAGCACTTGTGTAGACACTGAGTGGGAGCAAATTTGCTCCCGGTCAGCCGCACCAGCAGGGGCCACAGGAGACGGGGGAGTTCTCTGTCCCCAGTGCCAGGGCTGCTCAGTTCCCGGCTTCTCCCAGGATCCGACCCCCAGTGTCCCGACACTGTGTGGCTCCCAGCTCTCCACAGGAGTCAGAAGCCAAGCATAGCCAGGACTGGGGAGCTGTCTGCTTCCCCGCTCAACTAGGGGTTTGCCAGCAGCTGCCCAAGGAGCAAAACAGGTCTCAGCCCCACCCCCCACTGAGTGGGGAAGCCCCACCGGGCACAGGACTCACGGATAGCTGCATCCCCCAATATGCGTGGGGCTCGGACAGCTCTGCTGGCTGCAACAGCAGCCGTCTTTTGGCCCCATGCACATCGGGACCCCCCCTAATGTGCACGGGGTTAGGAGGCAGCTGCCACTACAGCCGACAGAGTTCTCCTCACCCCATCCACATTGGGAATGGCCCCCTGTGCCCCTGCCAGCTAGCACCCCAGGGGACCTAGAGCTCCCCCTGACTGCCGTACCAGGCTGCTCCCATTGGGTGCGTCCACACATGGTGTGGATGCTTGGTTCCCCGGGGACAACCAGCAGCAATGCATCCTGTTCTGCTCCTGGCTCAAGCCGCTGCTAGCTGTCCGCAGGGAACACACAGTGGTGCACAGCAAGTTACCCTAGGGGTGGTAGGGGAGGCTGGGGCCAGTGCTGGGCTGGCTCCAGCAGCCATACCTAGGGTCCTGGGGGTCTCCTGGGCTGCAGCAGTGGCAATTCTGCTGCTCAGAGCCTGGCTGGCAGCTGCAGCATGGCTCTGGGTGGCCCAGCTCTGCTTTTGAGTGGCCAGCGCTGTCCCTAGGTGTGCTGGTCCACTTTTTTTCTCTGTGTGTTTTTTTTTACCCCTGGATATCCAGGAGTCAAAAAAACCGCTCTGCTCTGCTTCCTTGCAGTGCGGAGAGCACCTGAATGTGCGGTATGTAGTGTCACAGAAGTGTCTGCGGCGCTAGTACCGCACAGTCACGCTCATCTGGACATGGCCATTGGGAGCAGGTTTGCTCCCAACAGGGTGCATGTGAAACACACTCCCAGGGAAGTCTTACTGCACAGTACTTTACTACACAGTATTTTACTGTGCAGTAAGCCTGTATCACATTAAGAGAAGAGCACATGTAGTCCTTCCCACAGAAATTAGCTGCAAAAAGATGCTAAATTAGAAGCAAGAGCTTGACCAAGCACAGGGGCTCAGGCAGGGGAACGTCCCCAAAGTCCCTGTGCTTAGTTTGAGAGTTTTAATTAAATGAAGTGGAACCCCAAATGAGGTGGAGCCACACAAGCAGGTCTCCGTAAATAGGGCGAATCTCTGTCTTTGCATTTGGTAGAGGATAAACACCTAAAAGGGAGGAGGGCCCATGCAGGCAAGGTGTTCCTAATGGCACCTATGTGCTGGGCTATCTGGGCACTGAGTGCAGATGAAGATTAGCATCACTTCTGTTCTTAAAACTGTATTTCCTAATTTTCTGAATTTCTCTTCATTCATGCGTGCGTGTGTGCATGCGTGTGTGTGTGTGTGTGCATGCGCATGCACATGCACCTCTCACCTTTCATGATGACTTCTTAAGATCATGAATGTTTCAAGTCTGGTAAGGGCATAGTTTAGAAGGGAAAAATTCCCTTGACCCCATGCCATTTGCTCCCTGTAAAAGTATCTTGCTCTTGCTCTTGCTCTACAGTGGGTGTAGCACGATAAAGCACTGATAACACTGGGGTGTGAGTGATAATTTAGCCTTGCTAAAGACCAGCTGTAAAATCTTTGGTGAGACCTTACTATCCTTATTTTGCCTCCAGTTCCCAGCTCTGTAATAGGTGGTTCTGCAAGGTGCCTACACATAGTGCTTTCCCCCTCCAGAGAAGCATCTTTTTCACACATATTGAAAAAAAAGTCTCTTACCTAGGAACAAGAAGCTGAAGATCCATTGAAGTACCGCAGCAGTTTGAAACCTTCTCTTCAAAGGAATATAGAGAGGGGCAAACTGAATCTTCATTTTGGACTGCTGAGGCAGCTTGACAGGCAGAGGGCAGACCTGGAGTGAGAGTGGCAGAGGGCAAAGTCTTCCTCCTGCTTTTACCCAACTTCACAGCACAGTGGGTTGTGCAACACCCTAGGCGTCTGGACAGCAGGGAGACTAGTGAGCAAACCCCGCCTGCTCCAGGAAGGAGGGGAAGGGTGTTATCTGAACTGTGTGGGTGGTTGTGATTTAAAGTGACTTTGAGGCAGCCGGTGGAAGTTGGAAACAGGCTTCTCTGGGGATACGGCCCTGACCATTCATTTGTGCATGTCTGAGAGCTCTTGGCAGCTCTTCTGCTTCTAGGAGATGTGGTGTCTGGAGCCTGCATGCACACAATCCAGATGTGCCCACAGACCCTCTCGCTTTCTGCTTCGTACAATACTCCTTGCACAACTAAGGAATACTTGTTTTTTTACCCCTTGCCTTACAGCAGGGGCGAACACAGCCAGGGCCGTTGTCAAGACTGTAAAGGTCTCATGTGTTGGCAGACTGTGTACAGCAGAGAGACCCATGCCCAGGCCTCCTCCAGCTGTGCTGTTCTGCAGCCATTTAGATCTTGTTTGAAAAGACAAGGCAAGGGCACTAAAGAAGGGCTGGACCATAGTCCAAGGGTGATGATGGCCTTTCAAGGGGAGAAGGGAAGGGCTTTGTGATGGAGTGATTTTGTGATATAAAGTACGGTATAAAAAGCCTTTGCCCTAAGTATCCTAAGTGCATTGTTTGTGTATGGGGGGGATGAGTGTGTGTGTGCAAATAACCCAAGGAGTAATTTAAACAGCCCAGAGAGGACTCTAAGGTGAGCCAACTACAGTGTTATAATAGGCAGCATCTTATATGTTTCTGTGGGGGGGGAGCTGACCCCATCCCTTACACCAGAGCATGCATGGGATGAAAGTGTGCATGTGTGTGTGTGTGTGTGCACGTGCACGCTCATGCATGCAGACATGGCTCTTCGGGTAAATCTGATATGTACGCATGCATGCACGTGTGCGCAGGTGCATGTGTGTTGGGGAAGCAGAGAGAGAGAGGGACCAATACGTAAAGCTCCTAGGACCATGAGAAAATTTCTCACCACTTCTTATTAAAATGGAACATTGTTGTAGCTGTGATGGTCCAGAAAACTGTCTGAGAGGCAAGGTTTTTTTGGTGGTATCATTTATTTGACCAAGCGTATAGTTGGGAGGACTGTTGGACAAGCTTTCGGGCATCAGGTGCCCTTCTTCAGGTGACAGAGAAACCTTTTCAAAAGAGACCTTGGACACATCGGGGTATAACTGTTACCAGCATACCAAAAAAATGCTTCTAGAAGAGAATAAATTAAGCAATAATTGAATCCCTTTAGTAAATCGCCCATTGTGCATGCAGGGCACAATTACTTTCTGTAACTCAGCAACTGAAAAAAATGGCTATAGCCAAAGAACAAAAAAACCTCAGCAATAAGCAATCGGAACCAATACGTATAATGGCCTCTCCCCTTTCAGCTTCTTAATGAACGTGTAAGGTCAATAAAACAGGTACATCATTGTAGGAGAAACAACGCCCAACAGATTTTTTGTTAGGGATGCCCAAAAGAACACAGCTGCTGGAAGTCTTGTTTAAACACACTGGTTAAACCACCATCCCCAAAATCACTTCTGTGCAGATACCTCTCTTGCTTTCCGACTATTTTTCTGTCTCTTTTGCCTGAAATGTTGGCGTGCCATTTCAGGAAGACAAATGAGGCTTTTAACTGTTTGGACCCTGTTGCCTGGATACAGACTGGTTCCTGGTGACACGCCTATAGCGTATAGCCACTTGCAAAGTGGAAAGGGGAGAGCGTATGAGTCAGAGCCAGCGCACGCAGGGAGCTGGGAAAGGAAAGGTGATGCTTGTCTCGCACCGAAGCCCTGTGCTTCCCTGGATGTGGGACAGGGAGGCAGGTGCAGTAGGGAACAGGGTTGCCTGCTAGATCTGAACCTCTACTGGGTTTTCTCCTTTTGCATAGAGCCATGGAGGCTACAACAGCCCTGGCATTGCATCGCCCCTGCAGAGCTGTCACCAGTCGCAAGGTGGAGAGACTGGGAGACAGGCTGAGAGACCAGTGCTAAAAGCCCAGTGCATCACTTGGGTGATGCTGTCCACTGGGGAGTGGGGATTTCTCCGGCTTCCCGTAATTTCTAGGTGATGGCTCCATTTTGAGGTTTATGGCTTGCGGCATTTCCTCACTACAGCTTCCACTGATGCCGCTGCTCTGAGGCCAGGTGGTGATGGCCTATCTCAACTCTGCTTCTGGGGAAACTCCCCAGCTGCCCCAGAGGGGAATCTCCACTTGAATTTGCACAGGTGTGCGGCCCAACCCACCCAAAGAGCTCTGTGGACAAGAGCCAGATGGGCTAGAAAAGACCGCTGCTCCAGAGAGCTCCCAAGCTAAATGGAGGATACGTATCGTAGGACTGAACCACGTTGTCCTACCCGAGTCCTATGTTCTTTTGTCCACGGGCCTATTTCAAGATATAATTTAGGTCCTGCGATACCCCGCCATGAGATTGCTCCTTTCCTCCGTGGAACTGGACCTGACCCCTCACTTGCTGGGGCAAAAAATGCCCAGCTGTAGAGGGCTGGAAAAGTGTCTGGGTGGTCAGATAATAATGTATATGTGTATGTATATATGTATATGTATATGTGTATATGTGTATAAGTATATGTGTCTTTGAATTTGTACATGTATATAATTTTCCAACCTTTGATTCTACTTCTACCCATATTTCTGGGCTTGCCTGTATATGTAGAAGGCTAATTATCTCAACTCAAGTCAAGAGGACCAAAAAGAAAAGCAAACTCCTGAGTCGGGCATTAAGGAAAAAACCTTTCCATTGACTCCTACCTGCTTATTGGTTTCAGTCAGAGTTAGGACCCTAAAAACCTTCAAGCATCCAGGCCTAAGGGACTTGCCTGGGGTTATGCAGGAAGTCTGTGAAAAATAGGAAACCTCATCCTGACCTTCTACCGCTCACACTAATGGCAAACAAATGGATTTTCCATGCTTGAGAGTTGTCTTCTAAGCTCCTTGATGCTCCTGCTTTCTGATAGCAAAGACAGAGCTTGTTAGGCAGAAAAATAAGGAACAATACACTGTACAAATGCACAGATTTCTACTAAAATTCAACATTCAGATTCCACAGGCCCTGTCACGGGTAAATGGCAGTAGTCTGAATAATAGGATCTCAAAAATCCTGGGGGGAAAATGATTCCCCTCTCCCCTTCTCCTGCTCTACAGCCATAACAAAAAATAATCAAGCAAATGAACATTGCACTGTTGCTATTCCCTTTTGGTGTGGCAGTGCCGAGCAACACTCATAGTGTGCAGCTTCAAAGACAAAGACTTGGCAACAAAAGTAGTGACCGTTGGTAGGGTTGCCATATCCATCACTAGCCACTTTCTGAATTCAGAAATTAAGATCTTAATTTAAATCAGGGTCTGTATTAAGGAAGTGCTTGCTTACAGTGCTTGGGGGGGGCGAAGAAGGTAGATATGCTAGACTATACACAAAATGTGCCCTTTGGACACATTTTGAAATTACTCCATGATGCAGCTTGCAATATAGTGTAGATAGATTTTTTTTTCCTGGAACATCTTGACTCAGCGCTTTGGTCTTTGGAACATGATCACTCTCAGCAGTAGCCAAATGGTTTATCGGGAGCCCTCAAAGTCCTCAGCTGGAGGGGATACAGGGTCACATGAGCTCTGCCGCTTCATGTGTGCACAAGAACTGGGAGCTCCTTCTTGCCCCATTGCACCATCATGCCCCAAGCCAAGAGCCAGTTGCAGTTATCGCGGTGGTTTGCACGGATGGATTGTTCTGCTGCTGAGGAATCTGTGCGGCATGGAGGCGAGGCCAGGACGTGCACATTGCACTAGACTTTTTATCCTATATCAGCTAGTACAAGGTGCACTGTGCCACCCAGTCACACAAAACTACCAAGCCATGCTGATGTGGTGCATTTCTGCCCTGTGGCCAAGGAAAGACCATCATGAGCTGCCAGAATAGGGTCCCTGATGATCAAAATATAGCTTCTATTAATGTCCTTAGCAGCCACACTGTCCCACTGGCATCATTTGAATCCTCTCCCCAGAGAGCCACTATCTGAGTGTGTCCAGAGCTACTAGCCCGGAATTATGGGACATGTGATGCAATGTCACAATGATGTATTCAGACGAAATAATGCTGTATTCAGACATCACAATGATGTATTTAGATGCCACAATGATGTATTCAGGTTAAACCTACTGTCGCAAGAACCCTCCTTAGGAATCAGGACTAGGCTTCAAGTCAGATGCCTGCACACAGCCCAAAATTTTGAACAGTCAAGGGCCAAAACATGACGTCGTAAGTGGAGGCATCACTGAGCGGTTATGGCTGCTCAACAAGTGAGATTGTCAAGCAGGGTATAAGTGGCAATAGCATTTATCAGCTCCTAGGAAAATGTAAAATATAGCTGCCTCCTAACGGTCAAGGAATTACTGATAAATGATAAAAGTGCAGCTACGCCGTGTAGCTGAAGAGTAATTCCATGTGATTACCTGAGCTCTACAAGACGCAGAGTGATATTTCTACAGCGGTAGCCACAGGTCCTTGATTGTGGTGTCATGCCGGGAGGAGGCTCCCATTATGACACTCCTGAAGGTGTCAGAATACATATGTTTCTATTGAGTGGGAGTTAATAACCACTCTTCGTATTACAGTGCAGTCTAAACGCCTGTGACCCAGGTGTGGGAAGAGAGCCACATTGCATTGGGAGCTGTAGAAAGGCCCAGGAGGTGTGAACAGTTGATCCCGGTCATTTAGCCCCCTTCTTTGCTGACTAAGTATCATCAGGCTGAACTTGTTTGTCAATAATTGTACAACAGTTGCTTTAGGGTGAATTATTTTGCAAGTTTTGCTTGCAAGCAAGTCGCTGCTCCTGCAGTGCTTCTTTCAGGAGGTGCTCAGCACTTGATGGCATTAGCTCTGCGTGATCGATTGCTTCAGCTGTGTTTAAGAAGCGTGAAGTTAAACCTTGAGCACTCAAGGGGCTTCTACGCCAGTGTTGCTCGACCCATGGGTCACA